CTTATTGCGCGATAATGATATGCACAAAGGGCGGAGCATAGTGGAAGCTCGAGAGCCCGTGAGCGCGCAAAATCAGCTGGTCTGTGTAATCAGGCGTGCACCTTCATAGAAATACACGGTGTTTGACCATGCAACAGTAGTGGTAAAACGTAGGAAGTCGCCACAGTCCCTTATCAACAAGGCAAGAAGGAGGTAACGTGTTTAGTACTGTTCTCTTCCACTCAAGTTCGGCGTCGAGTACTGTGGTCGGAGTAGAAGATCTGGTATTACCTGTAGCGACGCACACACGCGAGGAGCAAGGAAGGCATATCTTAAGGCACCATACCTCGTGTACCATATCTCTATATAGTTTAAACTACGGCAACCATATCCTTGAACGCGCGGGCCTTTCTTACAGTGCCAGGTAAACAGGAGGAGACGGAGAGTGATTAGTAGTTCATCTCCGTATTTATTATAGTTCGAGGACTTCTTGAGTTCTATCTCACCTGTGGACCTGTATACACCTTGACTCACCAACACAACAACAGACCATGGCTTCGACGGNTCGATCAGTTGACCGTTAATGTCGCCCCTTGAAGGAAGAAACAGAAAGTGTTCTGAAAGCTTTGCGTACCTGTTTTGATCGGAAATCGAACAAGGGGTAAAATCATCAAAATTAATTTTCTGACCGTTACACGTCCCCAATCTTCCGTACTGCTTACCTTTGAACTCTTTGGTCGGTGGCCATGCTGAAATATCTTATCATACATGTGCTTACTACCTGCAAACAGTAGACGCGATTGAAGATTTTTACACAAAAGACTTTTCCACTTGAATTTATTTTCTGTAATCTACTCCTTCTCTTTGTACTAGAATCCAAATTTTATCTTCTGTCCTAGCTTTGTATCATTGCGCAACAAAACGGTCTCTTTCTCTGAGCAGGTGTGCACTTTTGCTAACAATATTTGTAAAGCAAGGGTCAAAAATAAAATGAAAACATCAATAAATATAATAAATAAATAATCAATTTCATCTAGATATTGTTAAGTAAGGGTCAAAAATAAATGAAAACATCAATAAACATAATAAATAAATAATCAATTTCATCCAGATTCAATGATTCATTAGTCAAACAGAATATATTTAGCGTATTGGTAAATGCGTTAAATTGATAACTTTCAGTGATCTTTCACCAAGGGGGGCAGAAGCCATTCCCTATTAAACATAAAGAAAAGACGCTGTCACCAAGAAGGCTGCCAGTCCTTTCACAGAAGAAAAATTCGGTTTGACGGAGCATAAACTGCCCCAATGTAAATAAATACAGAGAGGAAATAGAAATGAAATTTTACTCTAAAGGGTTCACTTTCCACTTTGGGTTTGTAAATTATTATTGCCAATTTTGCGAATGTCTAAAACCTTATTACAAATTTTACTACCAAAGGAAAAGAAAATTAGAAGAGAAAAAAAGAAAAATATAAGCCTCCCCGACGGGGAATCGAACCCCGGTCTCCCGCGTGACAGGCGGGGATACTTACCACTATACTATCGAGGACTGGCTGAAGAAATTAGGCAGTTTATCATATATGTAAGACAGAAGTATTATACTAAGTAGTTATCCTTTTATCTTTTTCAACCTCATTCAAATAGTTAAGTAAGATGACTAAAAGTATACATAAGAGTTACACTTGGTCTTGTATCATCAAAATCGTGCAATTTATGTTATCCACGCGTCGATTAGCGTATTGAAGTCAGACATGCGGCCTATCTTGCTGGAGAGACACCTAGTGCTATAAATAACGGGTTTCTCTCGCTCTGCGTAGAGCATCACTATAATGTTTCTTAAATATATTCAATATTATTTTGTAGCTCATCATTTACACGCTGTTTTTTATTTGGCATAATCATGCCTTGTAGGTATTAGTAGTTCTATTGACCATATTTTGCATCTCAACTCTCCCTTGTAGGCCCTACTCCCACCCCCCACCCCCCTCCACACACATTGCTCCCCGATAATACAAATTGATAATACAAATTAGAGGAGAGTTCTGAGGAGTTCATCTGAGCTATGACTCACCTAGAAGTGATCAAATATTCAACAGTTATTTTTCATCTATAAAATAAATTTGCAATTTAGGTCCTATGGTTAAAGCGCTCTCTTGACAACATTATCTCGCATCTTGAACTTCGGCCAAATAAAGGCCTACATCGCAATACTGGATCTATCAAATAAAAAATCATCCCCCTCCCCCACACACCGCCCTTCCCCTCTTTTCTCCATCAGCTAGGGTCGCATTAAACCTAAGATTCAATACACAAAGGCCGCGATCACCGGTCTAAACAAATGCTTCTCCGGCACGTGTTCGCATTCTTATAACGTAATAAAACAAGCGACGGGACGCCGCGGGATTCGTAACAAAGTGCGCACATGCGTGAATATCAACAGACCGATGTTTTCACGGATGGTCTGTAAATATTTTTCTTTGGCCGCCCGAGAACGTAGTTACTATATTTACGGATAAAATATCTACATCACCGAAGCAAGGGCTTCCTAATGCACGCCGCTTACGGGGAATACATCGGTTATTTGGTAGACGCCTGCCATCTAATTTCGTTCAACAAATGGTTGAATAAATGAATAGATAAATAAAATGAATTCCTCAATAACAGCTGATAGGCTTGTGGCTGACAGTGGGGTTATTATTTCTTATGTCCTGATAACTAGCTACAGTATTCAATTGTTTTAAAGGTTACGGTCATCTAACTATTATCTCACACAGCGGAGCTTAACTTTTAATTAAAATACGTTGTGATAAAAAATTTATTGAAAAACAAAGGCACCAACCATGTCCGAAAAGGGAAAAAATTTCTGCCTCCCCGACGGGGAATTGAACCCCGGTCTCCCGCGTGACAGGCGGGGATACTCACCACTATACTATCGAGGATTGGCTGGTGGGGCGAGCGAGAGATAATAAGGAAGATAAATCGTCTTACCACTGATACAACTGTGCATCTATTACAAAGTATAGGGTATTTCCAAATTTACATTTCCATTCCCTGCAAGGAAAATGGCTAACGGGAAATACTACAGTTGAACAGAAATTAAAAATTACTCGAAATAAAGCGATAAAAACAATATATATGACTACTTCTTGCGTTTTTATATGAACATATTTGTATCTACCACTACATATGCATATTTATTTATCTTCAGACCCTCCAGTGACGATGTGAACACTCTGTTCTACTCACATATTTTAATGAAATTATTTTTGATAAATCCTTAAAACCAAAACGACTTCTCCACCCGGCCGGTGATACATGTAGAAGAAATCGTTTCGCGTGTGTCCGGGATATTAGTTATTACTACATTCTGACCACAAGACAAAGTCGGCTAATTGTCTATAACAAAAATTATTGTTAAACATTGCATGCTATTTTAGAGGCCCCTGAAATCAGATGGTATGATATTCCATGTGTTAGCGCTGATTATCGATAACGATTTGTTAACAGGCATTCGCTCGCTGTTTTAATAACAAATATGCAGAGCACGTGCGTTTTTCGTATACCCGAGGTTTTGAAAGTCTCCTTTGCGGACTTCAAAAAGAAATACTTGTATCACTACAAAGTTTTTCATTTTTAAGTGATTTCTCCTTTTTTAATTATTCAGTTATAAAGATAGACAGAAGTTTTAACAAAGATCCCTGTTAAGAGGGAATGGTTTTAGTATTAGTTTGTTATCAAAGAAAAAATCTGGGGTATTTTTCGGAGAAAGTAAACACATTGAGGGTGAGCAGTCGTTATGCAGGCACAGATATTTTGTACAAAACCGAAACTACAATTTGCGTCCAAATAAAAGGCGATTTTTCCTTTGAGAGTCTGCATCGTTGACATTTCATAGTTTATATCAAGAATGGTAATACATTATATATTCTGTTAATTTTATCCCTGAGCTCAAACCTCTGTTAAAAGGCAAAATCATTTCATTAAAAAGGATGGCCACCGCATTCGTTCTACAGGGTAGCGGAGGTGAAAAAGACAAGCATTATATTTCTTTTTTCATACACTATTTTCAATCATACTCTATTTTCAATAAACGTGATCCTTGCCTGGAAATTCAGCAGAAATACATGCACCCATTCCATAAAATTTGTTTTGTTGCAGGCAGATAAACACAAAAACTTACAAGCAGAGTTTTGTAAGGACGCCCGTTTTCACACCGACCAACCACATCCGAAGATAGTGTGATAAATAAAAATGAGTTTCCTGCCCCAAGTAAACAAATAAATACAAATAAACGGATCATTTGTGTTGACATGCTCCGCAGGCAACCACCGGCCACCGGATATTATCTGTGTGTGGAGAGAGAGAGAGAGAGAGAGAGAGAGAGAGAGAGAGAGAGAGAGAGAGAGAGAGAGAGAGAGGGGGGCTATACTAGAGGCCAGATGAATGATAAATTAATTCTATGTAAAAATTATCTCATAGAGAGAGAGAGAGAGAGAGAGAGAGAGAGATGCTAGAGGCCAGCTGATGGATAAAATTAAATCCATGAGGAAAAAGAAAGACTAATTAATTAGAGGCATTTCGATGTATTTGGAAAGATGTTTTTATCGAGTATATGGAATACCAGTAATAACAAAGACACGTCACAGAAATAAAAAAAACGTGTAATCCATCTACCTTGTCTACATGTTCACGTTACACATGTACATATTACACACTTGTATATGTTACTTGACCAGGAAATGCATGCAGACCGTGCTACCACATTCGATATAAAACCATTATTTAAAGATAACGAAATACACGTGCTAAAACTATCATTCAACAGCCTCGTCAAATAATTAAAAATTTACTCAAGATGCAAGATAAAAGAACATACACGAATAAAAAAAAACATCCGTCTATTATCAATGATCCCATGTACAGTAGCTTCCCCAGTCAAAATTAGTCCCAGCCCACGCCCCGCCTACTCGCTTATCGCGCGATAATGATATGCACAAAGGGCGGAGCATAGTGGAAGCTCGAGAGCCCGTGAGCGCGCAAAATCAGCTGGTCTGTGTAATCAGGCGTGCACCTTCATAGAAATACACGGTGTTTGACCATGCAACAGTAGTGGTAAAACGTAGGAAGTCGCCACAGTCCCTTATCAACAAGGCAAGAAGGAGGTAACGTGTTTAGTACTGTTCTCTTCCACTCAAGTTCGGCGTCGAGTACTGTGGTCGGGATAGAAGATCTGGTATTACCTGTAGCGACGCACACACGCGAGGAGCAAGGAAGGCATATCTTAAGGCACCATACCTCGTGTACCATATCTCTATATAGTTTAAACTACGGCAACTATATCCTTGAACGCGCGGGCCTTTCTTACAGTGCCAGGTAAACAGGAGGAGACGGAGAGTGATTAGTAGTTCATCTCCGTATTTATTATAGTTCGAGGACTTCTTGAGTTCTTTCTCACCTGTGGACCTGTATACACCTTGACTCACCAACACAACAACAGACCATGGCTTCGACAGTAACACAGAAAGATACTACGTTCACCAAAATCTTCGTGGGAGGACTGCCTTACCACACAACAGACAATACACTACGGGAATTTTTCGAACAATTCGGAGATATTGAGGAGGCGGTAGTGATCACAGACAGACAGACAGGCAAAAGCCGAGGATACGGTTTCGTGAGTATTGCACATTAAGTTCTATACAGCATATGTAGTGACCGCTTTGAGTGATGGTGATAGCGTTAACATAACTGTCCCTTGGTACCCCTCACCCCGTTATGCTTAATATATATAGTATCAACAACATCATCAGGGCACACCATTATTATTCACCCTTTCCTTTAACATAACCCTCTTAAATAAACCCTTCCCATCCCCCCTTAACTGAACACGTATTGATGATGGGGGCTCTAAAACCTTTCAGAGTGGCAATGGCCCCAAACAAAGAAAATTCCCTTCGCGCGCTTTTAAAGCCAGCAGTACACATGGGGCCCTTGTTTCAGCTGCAGTAGGCAGGTCCGTAGAGTCCACACAAACAACACGTTCAGTCTCGGAGGAACGTTTTAAGTTTTAAGAGAGTTCAGCTTGCTCGAGTTCATCCCGTTCACGCTGGCTCAGTACAAACCCACGCCGGCGGAATCGAGAGAGATACAGATACGTACGGCGTCTGCTTGTGAGCTGTGTGAGGTACAGTTCTTGGTTTAATTCCGCGAGGAATGTAGCGGGCGGGCATCTTGATGGTGCATCTTGAAAGATGCCACGGCCAACATTTCTTCCCCTCTGTCTGATCAATATGGCTGCACCCGTACCTGGTCCAGGTAAAGCCCTTAATCGAAAAGTACTGAACAACTTTTCGGTCCAGACACGTCATATAATGACCATCGAATTCTAATTGCCCTCTTGGGTTAAGAAAGAGGAGTTAAGTGTTTCATACAAACGTTGTCTCCCTCCCAAAACAGATTAGTTTTCCTCACATGAAGCAAATCGAGTAAAATACAAAAATGTCCCTCGTGGGTTTGCTGGAAATGGATACCGTTGAAACCTGAGACGTGATCCCGAGCAGCGATTAATATGCCATGTGTGAAAGGTTTTTGTTGAAATTTTGTTATAAATATATGATAAAACCATCACCGTAACAAAACTATATCCAAGACAGCTTTATCTTTGCACTGCTCATGATTTACATGTACCTTATACTGAATTGTTGGGTCAATGGTCGTTTTGATCATTGTAAAATATTCTAGCTCCCCTGTAAATAAATATTTTCAATTTGGTTAACCAAGGGCTTAAAAAGCTACACAAACACAAACACAACGAGATAAATGGGCCTAGTTTCTTTGTTCTAATTTGTATCTCAAAAATAGGGAGGGGGGTGACAGGACCTCGTGTCAGCCGGAAATTAACGAAACGGGAGAATCAAAACTGCCAACGCTTACAACAACAACACTAAATCTAGAGCAAGTATCCACGTGTTACAACACCTCAGCCTCGGCATTTCCGCCGGACTCCGCTGTTTAATAAGAAAAACCTTAACCCCGCTCCAATTAAGTGTCTACTTTAATCCCGGAATTAATTGCGGCATCTTCCGTCTTATCTCCTCGGCTCCAAAGCGTACCTCCAGTCCCCATAGGCCCCGTTGAGTGACGAGAACGCCAGCGTCAGGTGCTGGGGGATATGTATGTGCTGTAAGCAGAAACCACGTCGAATTTCAGCCTTGATATTAATCTTAATTATTGCTCCTAAACGTTTCCATTTGGTTCCCCTCTCTTTGCTACCCCATCAATTTCATAATTATACCCCGTGTGATGGAGATATGTACATCAGAATAAGATCAGTGGAGGAATTTTGTAGGTGTTTTTGGTCTGTGAGCTAAGTTGTTGAATAGGATGGGGTCTTCTTCCTTACAGTAAGGGTGGAGTAGGTTACTGCGAGGGGAATCAAGCCATCACTGTTATATTTGGGCAGGACAGTTATCCCAAGCTATCCACAAATGGGGACAAGCACGCACCGCTTCATACGTCAACCTCTCTCTCTCTTCCCTCCCTCTCCTCCTCTCTCTGTCTCTCTCTTTTCCCCCTCCCTCTCTCTCTCTCTCCCACTCCCTCCCTCCCCCCTTCTCTCTCTTTCTCTCTCTCTCTCTCTCTCTCTGACTCAATCAATCCTCGACAAGCACCGAGTACCGCGTTGCACGGTTTGATTGACCTATATATTTCGCCTACTTCAACACCACGGCATTTCCAATCCACAAATACCGGTCTCAAAGTCTCGCCTCCTAGTTACAGCGAACACTATCGAAACAGCGAGGTTTTAGCCGGCTTAATGAAGTAATTGATCTTAAGGGGGGAAAGTGAACGTGGCAAGAATGCGATGGCGTTAAGATCTCTCTTCTCCAGAACCACAACACATATATACATATTCCACAGCCTTGTTTCTATTCATGTACATAGTTATGAGCAACACGCGTTGTGTTGGAAGCTAATAACCCTCGGTCACATTTGATATGTGGTATCAAGTTCGATACGGCGTGATAACGGTTGTTAAAACCAGTGCTTGTTGGCCGTTTCTTCCTCGTCTGGACCAGCGGCCGTTGTTATCTTAATTGTGTAACTGAAATGGTGAGATAAGAACACAGGTAAAACCCCCGTCATCGGAGTGACATTTCTCGACAAACAAATCGCGTTTCGTGTGTGAAAATGTGATTAAGGCGATGCAATAGTTCACATATATTGGTATTGGTAGGATGTAAGACAGGGGCGGATCCAGAAATATTTTCTGACAGTCTTCCAAATCATCTTTGTTGATCCATCCTCCATTTCTGACCGTCTTCCGACAGATTAAAATTAGATACCCGTCCGTGTAAATGTGAAAATCTGACCGTCTTCCGGAAGACCCAGAAGACGCCCTAAATCCGCTCCTGTAAGACGTGTTTTAACCAGAAAGGGGATCAATTTTAATTGTGATATCGGACACGTAATTGTTTTCACCTGTTACTGAAATTCTCGTTGCAACAAAGATGTTCAGGTTGTCAACTATCCCGAAGAATCACAACTCATGTTCGTGAGAATGGGTTCCCTTTAGTCTCTTAATTCTTTTAACACCTGTCCTGATTTGTGTGTGTTGTGATGGTGTACACTGAAGCTAGCGTTCGACACGATCTACCTGTCACCTCTCCCTAAAGTTACAGCGCGTGACGAGTTACTGTAAGAACGCCTTGTGAACTATAGTCCGGGTAAACGGTGCATTTACGAGCTCTGTGACCGTCTTCAATGGGGACGCCAGTTAACAGCGACCCCAGCCATAATAAATGTTCCCCTATCACGGCTGAATATCATTGTGAAATATTAAACGAAGTTGTTGCGATCACATAAGTTTATTTGCAAGCCTCTCTCTCTCTCTCGCTCTCGGGCAGTTAATAACATGGTTTTTCGTTTGAGAAAAATGAAAATCTATACAGAATTTATCATTAGGCAGCCAGAGAGGGACACTGGGACCCGATATAAACCCAATTTGTTACACTGAAAATGTCCCCTGTGAATATAGCCGTGAATTCTTCAATTACTTCACCGCTAACTCTGAACGTAGAACAATTCAACGGCACTGAAAGCGGTTGTTGCCATTTCCCCACCGAGATGGAAAGCTTATTTCTATAACCCTGTTGTGTGCATAGCCCCAGCGTGTTTTTCCTACACCGGTGTTTCTATGGGCAGGGGAACAAAGGGCATCACACGGCGTTCTGGTCGTCTTGAAAGGTACCTCAAACCCCCTGGTTGTTCTTACGCAATCACCATTGCCACCGATGTTATTGTTTACCGGTTGGTATTGTCGCTTGATTATACGGTCCATTCTGGTGCGACGGAGTGGAAAAAGTATCAGGCTGTAAAACCGGGGTCTCTCTCGGGAGCCGAGGTGTGCATAAATTTTCTCCCCTGTTTATATTTAATGGAAGGATAAACTCGGGACACCCTCATTGTTCACGTTAATACACAGGTAATTGGTTTAGGAGAGACGCCCCCCAGTCATCTTCCCCCCAAATTAGGAAATTAGTCCTAACGGTGTCGCTTTGTCCTCGAGGAAATTATACCCCGTTCGCGACCACTTTGTATGCCAAACGAGAGGCCTAAATTAGCTGTCGATTGGATGAAGATTGGTCTTTGATAACGTCTTTGTTATATTGATTCAGTCCAAATTGAAATATCCCTCCCAATTTGCATGGGCTCCAGCACCCCAAAAATTGTCACCAACGGTTAAAGTAATTGCTGACACCTCCTGATTGTTTTATTGACGTGAACCATGGCAGCGTGCCACTCTTATTTTTCCCACCTGCGAACGTTTCAGCGCACCTTGACCTAGTTATTATTGGTGGCGGTGGTGGTGGTTTCTTGGCACCAAACCCGATAGTAAATAATAGCAATCTGAAATGGGGCGAAAGAAGAGTCCAGTAATCACTATCAGCCGTGCCATTAAGCAATTTTCGCCCTTTATTACCTGTTCTGCTCGTTCTTGATTAGCGTAGGAGGGTTGATGACAGGTGCATTTTCTGTATAACTGGTTTTACAGAGTTAAAACAAATTACAAAAGCCAAAAGATATTCCGCGGAACGAGAATAACGGGATAAGTGCTAAATGCGCAGGTTAACCTTCTCTTCACTCACGGTCATTGCACTCTTCAACAAACGATTGTCCGAAAAAGACACATTCTACGTCGTTTGGCAAGTTATCAAACAAGCTGATGGAAACTACGATCAATTTTTCTCATAATCATTGGCTCCCTCCCCAAAAGGTTCTCCGCGTTCCGCAATGCTGTAGACCCTAGGATGCCGCAGCAGTATTTACCATGTAACTGTCTTTATTGTGGCACGATTATAATTCAAAGGCCTGGTTCTTGTTCTTTGGCAGACAAACCACTTTGACCATAACGAGTAAAATGCCCTCCATCAGCGCAAAAGAAAAAAAACGATTAGATCAATAAATTCTCGCCATTTTGAGAAATTGCATAATGTAAATTTAAATGGGTTATGTAAGCGTTCTCTCACCTGTATTTTTTTGCCCAGTCAAAATCTGGGTGGCACATTGCTAGATGTACTTCCCACTGTATTGGTTTCCTGCAACCTGTGAATTCTCTGTATCCTCTTCCTCAATTTAAAGTACCTTGTCTAATTCCCCGGTACACCTGTAACAGACGCACCTGTCAGTTTAACTTACTGAAGTTTTCATGAGCAATTATAATCTAGTTAAGATTATCGAATTTGTTCTGCTATTAGATTTTTTTGTCAGTGGGGTGACAGGACTCCATGCAATGAAATGCTTGTATGAGGAAATGAGAAGAAATATATCATTTAGATAGTCCTAACATAAACTTAGGATTCATCTTTTGAAAAAAGTGTATTCAATGGGCGTGGGGGGTATTAGGAAGGAGGGGAGGGGGTTATATCCTCTCTGCCCGGCCCAATCCTCTTCGGTAAAAATATAATTCGGTAAAACCTAAATGCACCTCTGTACACTGCTTCTAACTGTTCTATTAATTCGACGTGTTGGGTGTTCTTTGAATACAAACAACACTTTCTCGGTGTTAGCCAGTACAGAGCGCCATACGGAATGGAGCATTTCGTACATTTTCTTTTTGCTATTTGGTAAAAGAATATGCGATTTAGTACAACCACGTGAAGGGTGTGCTATAAGTGTGATAGCTGATACAGAAGTCCTTTTATTCGTTTAAACCCTTTTTTCCAGACAGATACTCGTCTGTCCTCTTTGTGGTTTCGCATGTTTTTTTCTTTTTTAAAGAATATTTAAACTTCTCGTTCGTGCCTGGATCGCCCGCATTCGTTTACATAATTTGTTTGCTTAGAAATGAGAAAGGATCAACCTTGATCATCTTAAAGCATACGAAATGAGTCCGTTTCCCACCCTGTAGCGTTTTACGACAAACCATGTCACGATTTAATACGGATTTGGTTTTAACAGAGCAATGACACACCTTTTTCCCTATGTTGAAATATTACTACATGTGCCGCTTTAAACTGAAAATAACTCTCACAAATATGAAGGTAATATTGAATAGCTGAGCCCCCCTTTTACCAAAAAGAAAATATTTTTAATGAATGGTTTCGTGTACTTTTATGTTCTTTACATCAGTCGATCTTTTTTCTTCCTCCTATTAATCTGAAAAACAAACAGACCACTTTTCAGCCTAAGTTCCAACGTTCAAACAAAACTCTCTGTGTTGGTATAAAAATAACGTTGATTCTGCTCCTTGCACCGAGAAAACAGACAAACGAAAACCTTGAAACGAAATGAGCTCAATAAGTTCCATCGACCCGAGTCTTTCTCCATTGTACTCGGATGCAAAAGTTATAATATCGTTACGAACTCGCCTGTTGTTTCTTCTCAACACGACCCCTGACCCTTCGCCCTCATGCACTGTAATATATTAACGATTAATACAACACTATTTCATCATTTCTATACTCGCAACAACACACGTATCGATGATGGTAATTAGTATTGTTATCATTAACTTAGCATTTTCGATTGAAGTTCATAGATGGGTTTCACTTTAACCCGGGGTCCCATAGTAAATGATTTCATTCCAGATTATGTTTTCAGATAACCCTCTTTTACTATCTGTCCCATGTTAAGTAGTAGCCGTGGACAATACAAAGCATATCACCTGTGATATCTGTTTTGATCATCACTGCCAACACATGTACCCATCACATGATTCCCCATTAAACTGAACGGCGTTTATTAAAAAGAAATGGACCACTTCTGATGTGCCGATTCCATTGCTTAAGCCATTACCTGTAGCTTTCATGTGCTGCTCCATTTAATTTTCACATATGATATATATTGGATACTGTTCAGTGTTTTACACATGTATATTAACACAGTCGGCTATCTTTACCTATTGCATGAAAACAATCGACTATAAAGTAGTATGACTTATTTGTGCCAATACACGAGTTTTTGGTGTTTGTGTATGGCCTTGTAGTTGTGTAAACTCAAACTGTCCAACCTACACGATACGTTTTAATATCTAAATGCTGCTTTCATCAAAAGGCGATGCTAGAGCATGAATGGAAAGTTAACTATCTTATTATTAAAATGCTATTTTGGTTATCTTGGCGTGAAATCTGATATTATTTTTATATCTATAATGATGAACGTTCTCACTGTAGTACAACGGAATGTTAATTTCTGTGCTATGAGCAGTAATATTCAAGCTAAGCTTTATGTATACAAAACATTTTACCCAAGACCTATTTGTATTTATTTCTATTCTGCATTCAGTATTATGAAAGATTGTCTTCATGAACATTAAAACGAAATGTTATACCAAACAACCATCAATGCATAGTTTCTACACTGAATTCAGAGCTGTGATACATAATCTTCATAAACATGAAAAAAAATTAAATAAAAAATTAAAAGACATGTTTTAATTCACGTTCCAGGTGACGATGTCTGACCGCGCTGCCGCAGAGAGGGCGTGCAAGGACCCCAACCCCGTCATCGACGGGAGGAAAGCCAATGTAAACTTGGCCTACCTGGGGGCCAAGCCAAGGATCCCGGCAGGTACGCAGCCCAATCAAAGTAAGGTTAAACATTTTAGCAATTTTAGCATGCAGCCCCTAGATGTAGAGCACCACCACCATCATCACAACTACGGCTTGCATGGGAACGCTATCCCCCTGGTGAAGGTGAAGGCAGTCACTAGCAGTAGAACGCACCCCCTGCTCGTCTTGAGGGAGTAGGGAGTGCAGGAAGCAGTAATATAGCACCCTTCCTCAGCTTGCATGAACCCCCCCCCCCCCCCCC